TCCTGCAGCCGGCCTGGGAAGCCAGGTGCCCAGTCTCAGCCCGTCCTCCCCTCAGCCCGACGCCATCAGGAGGCACCTCTGGGCACCCTGGGCGGAGTGAGGACTGACCGCAGCGCCCAGTGCTGAGAGCGGTGCCTCCTGGCGGCCCGGGTGACCAGCACTCTGAGCAGCCCCGTCCACACTTTCCATTGTTCCTGTTTAACTCATAATCGGCCGCGGACCGGCCTGTGCACGAGCACCTCAGAGGCAGGGGCCTTTGTTGTCCTCCTTTGACAAGTAAGGAAACTGAGGCAGAGAGAGGTTGTTACAGGCGCAGGCCACACAGCCAGGGAGGGTCCGATGGAGCCCAGCCTTCCCCACGCCTTGTGGCCAGAAGATGCTCAGAGAAAGGACCAGGGCTGGAAGGGCCGGCCCTGGGCTGCTCTCGGAGTGGAGAGGGGAGTGGGGGGTTGGGTGCTGGAGAGGAGGGGCCGTGAGGATGCTGACACCTGTACCCCCTTCTTCACCCGTCCCTCTTCCTCCCGGTGCTGACAGACTGCCCTCGGGTAAGCAGCCTGAAGCACAACCTCCAGGCCGAGCTGCATCTCCGAGGCCTGTCCCTGGCCTGGGGCTCAGCTTGCCCACCCTCCCCCCCGCCCCCACCGCGGCTCAGGGCTGCAGAGGGCCCCCAGGGGAGCCAGGGTCTCTGGGGAAAACAAGGAGAGAGACAGAGACCCTCGGAAAGTGTTTTGGGGGAGGCTGCCTGGCTCAATTCGGGTCCTTTTCCAGCAAAAAAGAACTCTGTTCTTAGCTGCAGGGCCCTGGGTAGAGATATGACAGGGAGCCGGGGGCCAGGGACCTTGAAGGGCTGCTCTGACCGGCAGACGTGGCTCAGCGTCCTCTCTCGGGCTCTGAGCAGATGCGTGGGCCCAGGCGTGGCGTTGCCTGCTGGACAGGTGTTAGAGCATATTCCCTGTGGGGGGCCCAGAGCTAGGGAGCGGGGAGGGTGGTACAGAGAGGAGAGCACCCACCGCCTGCCCTCCAATGGGTAACTCGCCAGCAGAGGGTGGGGCGAGTGGGCAGAAGGAACCCGTTGTGAGGGGCAAGAAAGTCAGCATTAAGCGGTTTCTCCTGGGGCTCTGGGCAGCCAGCGTCCTGGTTCTGTGCTTGTCCCACTGCCCACACGGCGGCCACCCTGAGTGTGTGCCTTTTAAAAACAAATGAGTAGGACGGAATAGAATCGAATGGCACAGGTCCCAGGCCACAGGCAGTTCACCGTTTTGTGAGCCCTTTTAGTTATTCCTGCATGAGGTGTATGTTCATGGGCCGCTTGCACACGGATTGTTATAAAGCACCTTTCTTATTTGGGGTCATAGTCAAAAGAGTCAGGAACACACGTTTAGATCCCGCCGCAGCCAGCCTGCTCTCGGCGCTAAAGCACGGCCCCTGAGAACACCGGCCCTCCCATCCGCTGTCCTGCCTTCTGCGCCCCGGGAATGCGGGCTTCTCTGTATCCGGGCCTGAGCTGACCTGACAATTCCATTAGGAGAAAACAGTCTGGAACTAAGCCAAAGGAACAAGGGGGTGTCCTCCAGGCCTGTGTCCCCCTCCTGGAGCAGTGCCCTGCGACGCTGGCGTGGGTGCCTGCAGGGGACCCTCGCCTCACTCCCTCCCCTCCCCTCCCCTCTGCAGGTCTTCGGGACGCCCAGTCCCTTCAGCCCCGCCAGCCAGCTCCCCCGCCCGGAGACGCGAGACACCATCCATGCCATCGATGAGCAGGCCCTCGCCAAGGTGTCCCCAGAGCTGAGGAACTCCGAGCTGCACGGCAGCACCGACAGCGGCTTCGGCAGTGCCAAGCCGTCCTTGCAGACTGAGGAGCCCCAGTTCCTCCTCCCGGACCCCCTCTCCCAGGCCGGGAGCACCCTGGGAAAGGGGGCCTCCCTGGAGCCCGAAAGCAGCTGCAGCAGTGCCAGCACTGACAGCGGCATCTGCCTGCAGGAGCCCAGCCTGAGTCCTGGCACGGAGCCCTGGGTGCAGCAGGCGGGGGGCCAGGGCCAGGACGACAGCGGCATTGGCCTCGCCCACCACTCCGAGGGGCAGCCTGCGGATGGACGGGCTGACTCAGCCTTGGGCCATGTCGGTCCCCTGGGGCCTGAGGCGACGGAGGGAGAAGACCCGGCTGTGGTGGAGTTTCAGGGCTACCTGAAACAGACCAGAGGCAGGGAGGAGCAGGCAGCCACGGCGGGCTGCCTGGAAGAAGAGGCCTCCTCAGCCGATGGCCTTGTCCCCCACCTCAGGATGTGCCTGGATGCCAAGGAAGCCTGGTCCCCACCAGCCTTGGACAAGGGCTACTTGAAACAGGACCCCCCAGAAGTGGCTCTCGCTCCCTCAGGGGCCCTGGCTGGACAATGGAACCCCGCAACTGAGGAATGGTCACTCCTGGGCTTGACTAGCTGTGGGGACCTGGGGACATCTGAGTGGAGCTTTGCCCAGGATCTCGCCCCTCTAGGCTGCGTGGGGGCCCCGGGCGGCCTCCTGGGCAGCTTCGATGCAGACCTGGTCACCCTGCCCCTGATTTCCAGTCTGCACGCCAGTGAGTGACTCAGAAGAAGGGGCTGCCTTTGACTTCAGCCATGCCCTGCGGGTCTGAGGAGGGGCCCAGGTCAGAGAAGGCATGATGCCAGCCTGGGCGCTGCTCTCCGCTATGCCAGGCCCTGCAGGTTCTGGCGGAGCCTCCTCCCTCCCGGAACTCTGCCTGTGACAAGGGTTGTTTGCTCAGGGAATCGGGGTTTCCTGGAGTTGGGGTGAGGCCGCCGGACTGAAGTCAGTTCCCAGCCAGGCCTTGCCCCGAAGCCAGGCTTGTGTCAAGGCCTCACAGCAGGCTCATGTCTAGGGGCAAAGGCGAGAGCAGTGACCACGTGTGCCTCAGCTGGCCCCCACCCGGCCTGGGAAGGTCCCGGAAGGAGCTCCCGCATCGCAGGCCTCCCAGGTCAGCTCTCAGGACGGAGCCGGTGGGGGAGGAAAGGAACTGAGCCCCGAAAGGGCCTGTGGCTCAGAACCCGCCCTCCGGGTGTCCTGTCCGTGTGCAGATACCTCCCTCTCCCCAGCAAGGAGAGTGGCTGCTCTGGGGTCCCTACCGAGGCCACCCCGCCTCCCCCCGGGCCACACCCCTGACAGCAGCAGTGAAACCTCGGCAATTTGCATTGGTCACATCTCAGCCTGCAGGCAGCCCCTGGGTGTGGGCACCAGCTGGTCTGCCCCGAGGCTGAGGTTGGCACCTGCCCGTGTTTGCCGCTGACGCCCAGCTGCGGACCCAGAGGACGGGGTGCGGGCTGTGCGCCCTGCTCTCCATGCTCAGCTGCACAACCTGGCCTCCCCTCAGGTCTGCTCCCATCAGTGAAATGAAGGACTCGCCGTTGGAAGCTGGCCCCTGCGGCGACATTGCCGGCCGGGCCGGGCCGGGCTGGGCCGGGTGGGAGGAAGGTACCGCGGGCCTGCGGCCTGCACACAGCCAGCTTCCTTCTCGCACGGAGAGGACCCGAGCGGACGTCCAGGCTTCAGGCCCGAGAACTGCAGGCCCGGCAGGGGCAGGTGTGCGCCCGGCTCCCCGTGAGTCTGGAACATGAATTCACAGCCGCTTACAGTCCGTGGGCAAAGAGCTGGGCGGGCGGCGGGCGGGGCTGCCCCTGTCATCCGCGGCCTGCACTCCAGGGGCAGCTGGGAATAGATGTTCCGGCGCGGGGAGTCCAGCCAGAACGCTCCACTCGGCCAGGCAGCGCTAGGCCCAGCCTGGGACCAGCTCCCTCTGCAGACAGGCCTGAGGGCGGGCTCCTCGGGCTCCGGGCCAGGCTTTTTTTTACCGTTGTGTTATTTATTGAAGAACCGCGTTGCGCAGTAAAGAGTTCTGGGAACTCCAAGAGCCTCCAAGTTCTCATTCAGCTCCCCTGTGTCTCGCTGTGTGACCTCGGGCAGCCCCGTCCTCCTCCGTTTCATCTGTGAAACTAGAACATAGGCCTGGCTCGTCTCAGTCCTGGGCGTGCGGTTCTGTGGGGGAAGCAGGTGTCATGTGCCTGGGACACAGCTGTGTGAATGAGTGATGTCGTTTTATTCCAGTAAATTGTCAGGGCCACAAGAATCACGGGAAACCAGTCGGATTTCTTTTTTCTTTTTTTTAAATGTTTTTATTGATCTTTAAAGAGAGAGGAAGGGAGAGGGATAGAGAGATCGAAATATTGACGAGGAGAGAGAAATATCACCAATCGGCTGCCTACTGCACGCCCCCCACTGGGGATCGAGCCCGCCCAACCGGTGACCTCCTGGTTGAGGCTCATGGGCCGGCGCTCAACCCCTTCCGAACGCACCCGACCACGGCTGGAGATCGAGCTTGCAATCAGAATCGAACCCGGGACCCTTCCGTCTGTGGGCTGACACTGTAACCACTGAGCCAAACGGGCTGGGGCTGTCAGTGTCTTCAAGCTGAGAGGGCGGTGGGCAGTTTTTCTTGGGAAAGGTGAGAGTGAAAGATAGCGAAAATGCATGCAAGAAGCCTGCGGGCCCCGAGGGGAAGCAGGACAGCAGGACGGCGTCTGTGTGTAAGCCCTGACAGCTGGGGAAGACAAAGT